GGTGTAGAGTTATTCTCCCTGAGGTCATCACAGAGGACAAGGGGGCACTCTATGTCTGGAGGAAAAGAAATGTAATTTTAAAACATGCAAAGGTTTCTTCACAGTGAGAGCTGTGAAAATGTGGACTAGACTCCCTCAAAAGTTGGCTCTGGCCAGCTCAGTGTATTGCTTTAAAAAAGGCCTGGATTCTTTCCTAGATACACAGAATATAACTGGATACTAACATTTATAGATAAAGTTGATTCAGGGAATATCCGATTGCCTCTCAGGGGATCAGGAAGGAATTTTTTTCCCTGCAGGAGCAAATTGAATCATGCTTTGTTGGGTTTTTTTGTATTCCTCAACTGTGGGTATAGGATAACTTTTTTTTTTTTTTTAATGGTTGAACTGGGTGGACTTTTGTCTTTTTTCAGCCAGACTAATTATGTAACTATACTACAAGGATCTCCACTAGTCTCTAGGTCCCACTGCACTGATTACATGAAGTGGAGAAATGCGGCAGTGATGTCATGCTCTCAGCTTTGTACAACCAGGGTATGCTCTGCATTAATTGAGAAAATACATAGCATTTTCTGAATGACACCTGTGCCAAGCAGGCAACCTCCTGTGTTCACAATGTAGCATACTAGCCACTCAACACAGGACCCAGAAGCTAGTGGAGATCACTGTAGTAACGGTGTCTACTTCCGTGATTTCCAGCTTCCGAGAGCCTAGGTGCCCAACCTGCAGCCCTTTGGTATATGTTATGTAGCCTTCAGCAACTTGTAGTGGGAACATTGATTAGGGTAATAGCATTGATCTCTGCTAGCCTCATGTAACATGTTCCCAGTTTCGTCTTTTGTAGCATAGCCCCAGCCAAAAATGTCCACAATTTCTGCAGTTTCTGACGGTCCTCTCAAGCATTACATATATTGAACATTATGTGTGGCCCTTTGGTGATATCAGGGGTCGCATCTGAGGCCCCTTTAGCTCATAGATTGACAACCACTGTTCTAGAGCGATTGGCAAGGTATGGCAAATGCATAATTACACTGGTCCAAGTTGAACCTGTAGGACTATGTAAAAATATCTATACCTGGATTTCTTCTTTAATGGTTCCTATTAGACTGCACATGCACTGTAACAGGAAAGCAAAGGCAAGACGTTTAAATCTGTCTATCTGACTGCATATTTATTTCTGTGACTTCAACTGGGCTTTATGTTGCAGGTACCCTATAAAAAAAAAATTCCCCAAATCAAATTACAGAAAAACTGTCCAATTAAATTACAGGCATGGACTCAAATAGACAACAAAGCATAAGGCTAACCTAGACCAGCTTTAGGTCATTTGAACATATTTTGGTCCTTAGCAGCATGTGATACATTGTACAAAATACTCTTAACAGATGTGTAAACACAAATTGCAATTCAAAATCATTGTAATTGCACAGAAATAGTACCAAATACAAATACTTATAAGTTCACGGGAAATCGACAGCATCATCTCTCTATAAAGAAAGAAACATAAAAGAAACATAAAAGGATCAAGTGACACAACCTCCTAATGATTAACCCAGTGGCAGAACAGCTTAACAGAGGTTCCTGAAATTCCACCTGCCTGACTAATCTGAAATAAACGCAGGCCCAGAAATTATTCTTGTAAATAGTATTTATATATTTTTTTTTCTTTGTGCCCATAGAGACTGAAAGGGGTTTTAAGATGCCTTTTCTTTGCTATAAACTCCATAAGAACCCATTCACACAAGTAACGTTCACTACTGCACTGCCACTTGTGTTGCACAATGTTGCGCTGCAAAAGGTACTGCATTCTAAACTTTTTTCAGTGCACACCATCACAGCACGGTGACGTGAACAGTCCTGATAGGGGACATGGTTTTTTGCTTTGTTTATGCATTGGGTAAGGTTGCCCAGCTCATTGCAAATTATCTGGTATGAACAAGCCCTATAAGTTAGAAACGCCATTACTTGTAGGAATCAGGTTTTCTTGTTATTACTGAACCTAATCCAGCTCCACTACTTTTGTGTGACGTATAGAGATGGGCAAGCAGCCATAGGATATGGCTGGGCAGAGACCTGCCTACCCCGATTTGTAAAAAAAAAATAGAATCAAAATGTATATATATAGTATGCAGATCAGGCAATGCATAGATTTGCTTGCTAGTTGTCTATGAGCATTCACAAACCATTATTTTATCCTAATTGTTGCAGTTATAGATTTAGGAACTGTTATGTTATTGGATATAAAAGTTGATAAGGGGCAGATCAGGAGTATGTAGCTATGGACAGCTCCAGGGCCGTAGATAGTGCAAATGGGTCCCTGGTATGAAATTCAGTTTTGTCAGCCGCATAAATATTACAATATTATGGTATGTCTGACAGGTTTTGTATGGTAAGAAATAATGTTATATAATTGAAAATTCCCTATGAACTCTCCTGGAATGGTTTGTTTCCACGCAGAAACTGTAAAACATACAGGAGGTTGTGCCTGGCAGCTATACAAAATGTTTAAGACTTCCATCTTTTACATCAGTTCTTACTGGGCACAACAGGTACAGTAAATATGGGCACATTGGAACAAGAAAGATAACAGAAACCTGTCTTTACTAATCTACCCTCACAAAAATGCTAGTTACCTAGCTGTTGGTTGGCAGTGGCTGCATGCGTATTCTAGCTCAGTGATTCACAGTATGGAAACCAGGATTAACACAACATAGTATTTTCAAACTGTGACAGTTATTGCAGCCAATGCCTTTCTCTTCAGGCAGATGTCCTTTAAAGCAGAACTAAACCCTCCTATCTTTTTCATCCAAGGAAGCTGACATTTTAGCCTATATTTGATTTTCACTTCCCATGGTGTTGCACGTGATCAGTTATGACACCAGTATGGGCTTAAAAAACCCCCCAAACATTTAAATTCACCTAGATGGATACAGCATCGATCCGATGCTGCACTGACTCTGCAGTGAGAACTGACCGATCACACACTGCTGATCGCTCAGTTCTCCCCTTCCACTCTAAGCGGAGAGCCCTGACTGTGGAAGGGGCGAGAGGGGCTGCCACAGGCTCTCTGTGGATCGCTAAGAGGCTGAGCTAGGTGCTGGTCCAGGCCTCCGGGTGGATCATGACCATATGGTCGGTATCTTTTCTAAGCCTGGACTGGCTGAGTGACGTCAACTGACTTTAGCACAATGTCAGCTAAAAATGGGTCACAGGAGTGCAGAAAGAACTGCACTCCTGTGACCTACATCAGATGTATAGCCAAAATAGCTTTGGCCCTACTTCATCTTTAAGTAAAGTCCATCGCTAACTAATCAGAGAACCTCACTATCTGTTTTCTACCTTTAATTATACGTCAACTCTACTTTCTAACAGCATCAATTCCATGTAATGGTTACATCTTCCCCAAATGCAAGAGCAACTACAACGGCAAATTTTGGCCACCTACAAAGGACATCGGTGACTGGCTTTGCCTGACTTCTCAGCAAAGTTACCATTATCACTGGCCTTCATGAATTCTCTAAAAATTCCAAGAGAGAAGCCACTAAGGCTAGGTTCACATATGTGAGGGTGTTGCGGCTGCGGATCTGAATGAAAATCTGTGTAGCCACACCACCCGCACAGAGCAATGCGGACCCGCGGGCGGGTGCTATTAGTTCTGATGGCACGCCGCCCGCACTGGGAACTGAGGTTCCCGTGTGGGCTGCGTTTTCAGAAGAAGTGCAGGGACTTCTTCCCTGCGTGTCACGGAGCTCGGGAGTCCATTCAAATGAATGGGCTCTCGTGCCCACGCAAAACATGGCCCGCACAGCGGCATATATGTGAACCAGGGGTAAAAGAAGAATGTTACAGAATTCTCTCCCATAGCTGACTTTACACAGTTGTGCTGGGGTGGCAGAAATATTTCCTCACTGGAATCCTAAACTATGCTGAAGACTCAGATTAAAATGGAACTAAACCTTTCTATTGTTTTCAGCTAAGGAAGCTGCCATCATAGGCTCTGTTTGATCTTTAACTGCCATGATGCTGCACATATGATCAGTTATGACACCAGACATTTGATGGTTTGACAGTTGAGAACACAAACAAATGTGACAATTACATTCCCAGCACGTGCCAAGAAATGTAACTGTTTCTTGAAACTGTCAAATCAATGGGTTTAGTTCCATGCTAAACATAAAAAAGGAAAAAGCAATATCTGGTAATGTTTCTCCATTATAGCCTTGTCCTCTGCGAAGCATGTTGTGTTACAGGTCAGTATGCCACTGGATGATAAGGAATGCCACATGAACAGACATCTCAGCTACTAGTTCATAATCTCTAGCCTCCTGTTTGACTGAACATTAACATGACAAAGGCCATATATTCAGAAAATCTTTGAAGACTAATTTTTACAGTGCCAATACTTGCCACTCGACATATTGGAGGATGTGACTGAGAAACGAACTTGGATTAAGACTTGCTATGAAGATTGTGACATCCTTCAAATACAGGTCAAAGGAAAAATAAAATTTATAGACCAAGAATCTGCACTGCTCTCAGTCCAAACAGTGCAAGAGTGCCAGCTAGAGGCAAAGATAAAAACTGCAGGATAACAGGAAGAGATGAAAACAGCTTTTAGATATATATGAAAAGCAATGTCAATAAACAAGATATGCTGACCTATGTAAAATGTTGTAGTCTGCATATTCCTTAATGACATGAAGAAACACAAAAATAACCTCATCTATAACTTCATACTTTCTAAGTAACCAAGGAACATTGTTCCTTATTTTAAAACTATGAGCATAGGTTCAGAATCCCATAGGGTTCTGTTTATTTAATAAAGGAATTTTGAATCCCTTTGAAATAAGGAAAGACCATCCATACAGTCCTCTGGTGGTCTCTGCCATGTTCAGCGAAAGCAACAAATATAAGGCACCTGATGGTCTCAATTACACTGCACCCAGGGAGTACCATGAAAAAGTGCTCAGGAGTTCTATCAGGTAACAGACGTCCTCTCCTCACACTAGATTTTTGTTGCGTTTAGGAATAATTCTCCTGTATGTGCGTCGTTCTGAGATGTTGCGTTTCACTTTCACCACCACGGGAGAGCTCTCTGGGTTAAGTGAAGGACTTGAGTAGGACCTCTTTAATCCTGTGGTCTCTCCTTGACCACCATCAGGTTCCGTCAGCCGAGACTCAAAAGCCTGGAGATCTTCACAGCCACTTTCCAAACGTACTGCAAGAAGCTTCACGTAGGTTTCGTACCTTAGTTTCTGGAGAGAAGCAGATCATATGCAACAAAGTTAACTAAAGAACGTGAAATCTCGTAAGATGCCAAATTACCCCAAGGTTGACAGCTATACTGTATAAAGCGGATGTCCCTCCTTTACCTCATATCGTAAATACTCCTCCCGCAAATGGTAGTCCTCAGAGTCTCGACTTTTACTCTTTGGGTCTGGAAGATTTCGTTGATGCTCAGTCAAGTCATCTGTAAATCTGTCCATTAAAGACTCATGAGACTGAAGTTGCTCTTCCTATGTAGAGATTGTATTATGTTACATTATTAAAGAAAAAAATCAGTGCATCCCCAAAAGACATATTACAACCTCAAATCCCCAAAAAATTGTCACGCTGTGTAATATCTATATAAAAAGAGAACGCAATGATTTGCATATTTCATAAACCCATATTTATTTACAATAGAAAATAGAAAAGTGAGAAATGTACCATTTTTAGAGAATGATAAGGTAATTTTGAGATTGATGGCAGGCACACATCTCAAAAAAGTTGGGACAGGGCAAGAAAAACATGGTAAAGTAAGTGGTAATAACAAGGAAGAGTTGAAAGAACATTTTTCAACTAATTAGGTTAAACTGGCAACAGTTCAGTAACATGATTGGGTAAACAAAAAAAGAGCATCTTAGAGAGTCAGAGTTTCTGCAAAATAAAGATGGGCAAAGGTTTGCCAATCTGTGAAAAGCTGCATCTAAAAATTGTTGAACAATTTTAGAATAATGTTCCTCACCGTAAAATTGCAAAGACTTTAAATAAATCATCATCTACAGTACATATCATCAAAAGATTCTGAGAATCTGGAGATTGGGTTGAGGCTAGAATTAGGGTTGTACGTTCTAATAGCTGTTGGATATTTAGGACTACCTGATCTCCTGTCTTTCTTAGGGTTCTTGATGGTGTGGGGTTCATTCACAAGCTTCCAGTCCCTGACACCTGTTGTGGCCATTACACAGCAGTTTTCTCTAAAAATATTCACAGACTGTTCACATTTCTTCTAGTGGCTCATGAACTGGCAAAAACTTGCTCAATGGGTGGCCCTGTCTGTGGCCTCCCACCAAACATTCCTTGATTGAAAAATCGAAGGAGCCAGGTAGAAAATGATCAGACAAACAGCACGTGCATCCACTCAAATGCAGCCTGCTTGGTTATTTTGTAAATACAATAACTGCAGTGGAAGATTTCTCCATCCACGCTGTATAGCTTAGAAAAGTGTTTTTCAGCCTTTTTTCAGTCAAGGCACCCTTTAAAATTATCGACAGTCCTGAGGCACCCTTTAAAATTATCGACAGTCTTGAGGCACCCCATTCTAAAATGCGAAAAACTATTCTTAAAGTTTTATATAACCCAGCAACATCCACACATGTAGGACACCCAACATTAGAGGTGATTTATTCGTCCAAATCAAATACACTTTTGCACATTGGTACTGACTAGTATGCCAGTGTTTCTCTTCTCCCTTGGTTTTTTCTCCATCACTTAGCTAATGTGACCCCAGCACTGATGGAGAGGGGCAGGGGAGGTTCAAATTAAGATGCTGTGCAGGCAGATGACATCCTCCTTATCAACTGTTGATATTATTGGTTGTCAGGACGCCGGCGGCTAGAAGGTCGTAATGTTGCACAATAAAAACCTTTGTGTAGCTAAAAGGAAGGCTTGTTCCACCCGCTGGCTTGTAAACAAGTTTTGGGCAAATTTTAGACATTTTGCCAAGGCACCCCTGAAGAAACCTCAAGGCACCCTAGTTGAGAAAGGCTGGCTGTCATTGTCATCCTAGGGCAGGAAGTATGTTAGTGCCAGAAAATAAAGGAATACAAGCTGAAACATATGGCATCTACAACATCTTGACTGGTAACCTGACAACTGACCTGACCTGAAACTTTCGTCAGAAAGTGATAGATCACTTCATGCATACCCCTTCTGCAGGTATAGCTATGTAAAACATTAAAAATAAGCACCTACACTGTCTCACCCTGCTCTGCACATGCTCAGTTGCTCTTTATTTTTCAGCACTGTGCTGAAAATGTAGAGGCGATCTGATGGCAGCCTAAAGATTTACTGGTGCTCAGGGGCTCTGAGCTTCAGCAACATGGAAGCCTCCAAGTAAGAAGAAACAGGAACAACACCGGAGGCAATTACATAATTAGTAATGTAGAATGTATGTTCCTTGCAAAAAAAAAAAAATTATATTTTTTTTCCACGTCATTATGGGTAAAGTTCTGTTTTAAAGTAAAAACTCTTATAAGCATATAAAAAAAGAAATCTAGGTCTACACATTAATGTCTAAAACCTGTGTTAGCGTCTCCAATTAAACAGTACTGATATGTGACGAAAATCCCTTCTTTATTTCTTACTTTTCAGCACCTCCATTTTCTGCCACTTCCTGTTCAGTTAGCATACCTTGTGAAGGAGGTGTGTCAGCTAGAGAGCTCCCACTCAGTTCCCCTGTTCCACCCCTCTGTCTATTTAGGCCTCATGCACACTGGAACTCCTGCATTTAGATTTTCCAAGATTACTTTCTCCTGCATTTAGATGTTGACACTTTAGTGGTATTTACATTTGTTCAGTTGCATTCAACTTCACAAAATGAAAACTAAACTAACCATGAATGCAATTTTTTTCAAGATCTGTTAAAGAATGCTTTTCAGACCTGAATGGTCTATTTTTGACATTACTGTCCTTGGTTGCTAGTATGCCGGCATTGTTTCCTGCTTTGCCTTCTGGGTTGCTAGGATGCAGGAAGCTCCTGCAGTCTAGCTTCTTTGGTTGTTAGGAGGCAAGCGGCCCCCACTGCTGGGTATGTCATTGGACGATATTGCCGCTTAGATCTTAACGAACACAGACACTGTGTGGTAGGGGTTATCTGCACCTTAGCAACCATGAAAAAGACAGAGGGGGTGAAACAGGGGAACTGACATGCCTCATTCCTCCTGCATATCTAGTAATGGCACTTGTCATTGGGAAGTGCCCCGCTCCTGAAACAAGCGCTGTCAATCATAGTATTTAGATATTTATCTCCTTGCTAGATTGTGGTCTGCTCTGAGATCAATTAACTTGAAAGCACTCAACTCTGAGCATTTCCGGGTTCAGAGTCATAATAATCCCAGCTGAAATGATTATTATTATTATACAGGATTTATATAGCGCCAACAGTTTGCGCAGCGCTTTACAATATAAACGGGAGACAGTACAATTACAATACTTTTCAGTACATAAGGAATAGGAGGGCCCTGTTTGTGGAGCTTACAATCTAAAGGAAGGAGGAGGTGGTGACAGCTTCAGGGAATGATCTGATGGAGGTGGCTCAAGTACAGTTCTTAGGTGGAGGTGTGGTAGGCTTTCCTGAATAAGTAAGTTTTCAAAGATCGCCTAAAGGCAGACAGGGTGGAAGCTGATTGGACATACTGCGGTAGGGAGTTCCAGGAGATTGGAGAGGCTCTGGAATAGTCCCGGAGGCAAGTGTGGGAGGAGGTGACAAGGGAGAGCAAGATGTCTTGGGAGGAGCAGAGTGGGCGATTTGGATGACATCTGTGGATGAGGTTGGTGATGTAGCTAGGGGCAGTGTTGTGGATGGCTTTGTATGTTGTGGTTAGCATTTTTAATTTTATACATTGGGTTAGTGGAAGCCAATGAAGGGATTGGCAGAGAGGGGCAGCAGTTGCTGATCAGTTGGTAAGGTGTATGAGTCTAGCAGCAGCATTCATAATAGACTGAAGGGGGGATAACCTGTGTAACGGTTGACCAGTGGGAAGGGAGTTGCAGTAATCAAAGTGGGATAAAACCAAGGCGTGGATAAGTTGTTTTGTGGTGACATTGGTAAGAAAAGGATTTTGGAAAATGTTGCGGAGGTTGAGACGGCAGGATTTAGCCAGTGATTGGATGTGGGGTCCAAAGGAGAAGTCAGAGTCTAGGATTACACCGAGCACCTTGGCATGAGGGGAAGGACCAATGGTTGTGCTGTTGATCTTAATGGTAAAGTCATGAGTGGGGGATTGGGGAGGAGGAAATATTACTAGTTTGTTTTGGAAAGATTGAGTTTGAGGGAGTTGTGTAACATCCATACTGATATGTCGCTTAGTAGATTTGTGATAAGTGAGTAGATTGAGAGGGTGAGCTAGGGAGTGGAGAGATAGATCTGGGTGTCATCAGCATAGAGGTGGTATTGGAAGCCATGGGAGGTTATCAATTGGCCAAGGGAGGAGGTGTAGAGAGAGAAAAGGATGGGCCCAAGGAGAGAGCCTTGGGGTACCTCAAAGGAAAGAGGAGCGGAGGAGTTGTTGTATGTGACACTGAAAGTGCGCAGAGCAAGGTAAGAGGAGAACCAGGAGAGAGCAGAGTCATGGAGGCCAATGGAGTGGAGTTTACCGAGGAGAAGAGGGTGGTCGACTGTGTCAAAGGCAGCAGAAAGGTCTAGGAGTAAGAGTATTGCGTAATGGCCATTGGTTTTAGTACTTAGTTGGTCGTTAGTGAGTTTTAGTAGGGCAGATTCAGTGGAATGTTGTGGGCGGAAGCCTGACTGTAGAAGATTGAGGAGGTTGTTGTCAGTGAGGTAGCAATGGTTGTGAACAAGGCGCTCGAGAAGCTTGGAGGCAAACGGGAGCAGGGAGATGGGTCTTAAGTTATTCAAACAGGTGGGGTCCAGCAAGGGTTTTTTAAGTATGAGGGTAACAAGTACATGTTGAGCGGGGAGGGAAAGGTGCCTGTGGAGAGTGAGAGGCTGAAGATGTGGGTTATAGAGTTTAGGATAGAGCAGGAAGGAGGCTGCAAAAATAATGAGGGGACAGGTGGTGAAGTGAGCCTTGGAAAGGAGTTTGGTAACTTCCATGGTGGTAACAGGGTCAAAAGAGGAGAGTATTGAGCGTGGTGATGGGCCTGGTATGCTGGTTGGAGGAAGCTTGACACTAGAGATCTCATCACAAATTGTGTCGATCTTGTTTTTCAAATGACTGGCAATCTCCTCTGCAGTAAATAAGTTGGTGGGTGGAGGCAGTGGGGTGTGGAGTAAGGAATTAAGGGTAGAAAAGAGTTGACGAGGATTGGATGAGACGGTTTTGATGAGCGTGCTGTAGTACGTTTGTTTAGGAGCATGGAGGCCAGAGTTGTATTTGAGAAGGGCGGATTCATAGAGGGTAAAGTCTTGCAGGGATTTAGTTTTACGCCATGCTCGCTCAAGAGCATGGGGCTGCGTCTCTTGAGACTTCTGGTATCATGTTTGCCAAGGTTGTGACAGGCAAGGCCTCGTTCTGCATGTAGAGAGAGGAGCAAGTGCATCAAGTGAGGATGATAGTAAGTTGTAGGCAGATGTGGTCAGGTCTGGGCAGGACAGGGGTGCAATTGTTTCATAAAGGCATTCAGTAGCAGAGTGAAGAAGATCAGGGCTGAGGTGGTGGAGGTTTCTACGGGCAACTGTTTGCTGGTTGGAGGCATGGGAGTTAGGAGACAGGGAGAGTGTGAAGCTGATAAAATTGTGTTCAGAGAGGAAAAGGGGTGTTAGAGAGGTTACAGGGAATGCATAGGTGGGAGAATACAAGGTCGAGGGTGTTGCTGTTAGAGTGGGTGGTGGTTTGTGTCCATCATGTAAGGTTAAAAGAGGATGTTAGGTTGAGTAGTTGGGAAGCGGCTGAGGTGCTAACATTGACTGGGATAGTAAAGTCACGGAGGATGATGGCAGACGCCTCATAGGAGAGAAAGTACGGTAGCCATGCTGAGAAGTCATCAAGAAAGCGTGAAACGGGGCCAGGAGGCCGGTAAATGACTGCAATCCTCTGACAAACAGGAGAAAGATGAATACAGTGTACTTCAAAAGAGCAGAGGGACAGAGAGGGAGGTGTAGGAAGAACCTGAAACATGCTTTGTGGGGAAAGAAGAAGTCCAACTCCACCCCCTTTTCATCCACTGTGTCTGGGCGAGTGAGTCCAGAGGAGGCCACCATGGGATAGTGCAGCTGAGGAGACAGAGTTGGAGCCAGGTTTCGGTAATAGCAAGTAGGTTGAGGGAGTGGGAGAAGAAGAGGTCATTGATAGCAGAAAGTTTGTTGGAGACTGAGTGGGCATTCCAGAGAGCACATAAGAGGGAAGGGCCGGTGCGTGGAAGCAGGGGAATTGAGAAAAGAGAGTGAAGGTTGTGGCTGATGCCCGAGAAAGGGGGCTGATGCTTCTTTTGTAAGTTTGATGGTGGAGGGCCAGGGTTTGGGGCGATGTTTCCGGAAGTTAGTAGTAATAGGAGGATGAGGGAGGTGAGGTGGGAGTGGGATTTATATGAGGGCAAATGCTGCAATTGTTTTGGAGCAGTGACATTATGTGGGCTAAGAGACAGCAGGAGATAAGTGCAATGATATTGAGAGGTACAGGTTGTGGGGTGGGGAGGAGGGGTAAAGAAGAGAGAGTTTGAGGACAGAGGGCATTATAGCAAAAAAGAAAGTTAGTAAGAGCATGTTGGAGAGTGAGGAGAAATAACAAGGAAGGCTGAGGGAAAGAGATGATAAGAGGAAAGAGCATTTGCAGACTACTTGGGGTGGAGAACTAATATTTGTACTTGCCTTAGTTAAAGTGCCGTGTTCAAAGTACCATGTGCAAGGAATGGCCAGTCTGTCCCCTCGCCAGCCATCCCAAGGACTGTACTGAATTTATATTTGATGGACTGGCGGAGGTGAGGCAATTGTTCACTTAAGAGCTAATAAATGACACATGGTGGAGGTTTTCTGCCCTTAACAAATTGCAAGCAGGATGGACACAAGATAAGGCAAGCTGTTTGATCTCAGCTAAGGCACTATGAGAATAAATTAACTTAATACAGGCAAGTACAGACAGCAGTTACAATAAATCTAACAAAGCAGATGATTTCAGTCATGCAAAATAGCTTGGAGTTTGAGAGAGGAGAGGAATCAGCGGTTACCGAGGACAACAGGAAACAAGGAAATGAAGGTAAACAGCAACCCTACAAGCACACACAGAAATGCAGACTGGGGCCATTAAATAAAGTTGAAGATGCTATAATATGTTTTTTTGCCCCAATTGTCTTACAAAAACACTTACCAGATCAAGCTTGGACTGGGCTAAGGGGAGAATGGGTCGATAAAATCTCCTCTGAGAGCCCACCGCTGCTGCAAATGGTGGTGAAGAATACATGGCTGCAACTAAATTAATCCGGCAAATCCAGGAATTCATCTCTTCTGAGGTCCTAAGGAAGATAAATTATAGTAATATTTATCATGTGCCAAAAAATGCATCCTCCACATCTCCCCATTTACATTTTTCAGACATTCATCTTTCCTGACACGAGCGGACTCTAAGACTTGAATGTAATAATCCACAACATACTTTCTCAAAATAATGCTGTCAAGGAGCGGAAACCTTACAATCATCCCCGTTTAGGGCCCATACACCCAATATATTTGTGGTAATGCATGTGTTACCACAACACATGTTAGGTTCGTTGATGCAATGTGGTGCTATTCATTATGTTTATGGCATATAAAACACAACCATAGTAATAGGCACCTATGTGCTGACTGCTTACACAAACCTTCTGCCTCTGCTGTTTGCAAACAAAACCCTATGAGGGGGATTTATAAAACCTGGAGCAGCCAGACTCTGGAGCAGTTACGCATGGCAACCAATCAGTTTCTATCTTTCAAAGCTTAACTGAACAGGCTGAAGATAGAAGCTGGTTGGTTTGCATGCACAACTGCTCTAGGTCCTGTCTGTTCCAGTTCTGACAAATTCCCCTCTATTTAGTGTTTGAGGCTCCCTAATACCCAGCTGACAGCAGTGAATTGCACGAACATGCTTTGCAATGTGCTGTCAAAAAACAGTGCATATACTATTTTTTTTTAGAAATGCATCGCAATGCATGCTAGTGAGTTGCTACTCATGGTGCTGAAATGCATATCCATCGGCAGGTTGTTGGGGTCAAAACTTGCATGAATAACACCACATCATACTGGAGCAGTTAACATGCATTACCGCAAATAGATAATGGAATAAAAAAAAAAAAAGTGATTGTTATGATGTGATGATTTAAACAATCAACAATCAATGCAAACATTCAAATCTACGGTCGATCATTCACTAATCCATATGTGTATGGTCAGCATAAGCAACCTTCATTTTCTCACAACCATCTCTCAAAATAAGTGCAGTCTCATAGCTAAGGCAGGTCCCCCCCAATGTTAATAACCTTTTGTGACGTCAAAGATTTAAGTTCACCAGACAAACCCAGAACTGACAGGCTGAGTATTGAAGACTAAAATACAACAACCACCCTATCTGGCTGAGAAGAATCAGGATACAAAGCATAACAATGATTTATTGATAACAGCTATGAAACAAATTGGTAAAGTGCTGACTCTTCATTAAATGCAGAGAGGAGAGAATGCATTCCACAGTTAGAGATTCTAACCCAAGAACCAGCACAAACAATTTGTTACAGATTGGTGGCCAAATTCATCTGCATGGAATTTCTATGTTCGTCCGGGATGCTGGAATTTCTCCAAGAACATCATTTTCAGTGGATGTATTAAAAACATTTCTTAAAGATATATTTAGTTCCACGCTGGTTATGACATCAAACTCTGAGCAGCTCTTGGCCAAAACTATTTTGCAAGATGTTTTGCTGATTAATATCTAAAAACTAGTTAGAGTTTACGTTCACAAGACTTGAGCAATAGATAGGACAGCAGATAATATGAAGCTTGTTTAGCCATACTATTAACACTCTCTCTGTTCCTCTTACAATCATCTCCTGAACCGAAGGACTCAAATGTAGATAAAATTTAAAATTACCAGTCACAGTTCATGGTTAAAGAGTGCTAAATCTGTTTTTTTCAAAAAAATTCACTTTGCATTAACCTGAATCTAAAGAGAAAATAATTGTACTTTCTGGATATTACATTGTGATAACAAAATAACATTTGAGTTCCTGCGGACCAAATGCTTTCTTGCTTCCAAGTGAGCTCTAATTAGCAAAGCCCCTCTATGCTCTTGCCTCAAGCACACTGATGGGAATGGAAGTGGAGGCGGATACAGCCCTCTTGCAGGTGCAAGCCAATCTCTGACACACAGTGGTAATGCAGTTTATGGAAAAATATGGAAAAAACTTTTTGCGCCACTACTAGAAAAGATGGGACTATTGGGACAGCAGAACACACCTAGCTATACCACTAGCTAAAAACAACAAACAGAAAATTGATGTTGCCCTAATCACAATAACACCACAAACATCCCAAAACAAATAATGAGATGAGAAAACAATAGATAATACACCATAACATAATCAGTAAATGGAAGGAATATGCATAGTCCTTCCATTTACTAATAATGTTATGGTGTATTATCTATTGTCTTCTCATCTCATTATTTGTTTGGAATGTCTGTGGCGTTATTGCGATTATCGCAACATCAATTTTCTGTTTAATGCAGTTTATAGGCTATGCGTAGGGAGATCTAGTGTTCTGAATCAGAAACAACCTGTTCTTTAATGGGATCTTGCACTCATGATTTTTATGAGCATTGCAGCAAGTCCTTTATCACTACTATGACTGTCATGGACAAACTACACTATAGCTGTCATGTACAAACTACCATGGCTGTCATAGACAAACTAATGCCCAGCACTAGGTTTAGTGTTGAAAACCAAGTTTTCAAACCCTGGTACACAACAATCCCTAATAATTCTGAGGAGGGGGACCAAAAAGATCTAGTTGCACTCAAGTCTGCACGGTCAGCCAAAAGAGCCAAAGAACTTCCCTTGTAAGCTGTACAGTGGAAAGTCAGTTGAACATATTTAGCAGTCAGCCCACACTAGGAATCAAGGAGGAATCAAGATACTGTATGTGCGACACACTGACAGATACTAGTAGAAATTAATGGGTAACACTTCTAATAGCCAGACTTTCTCAGAACAACCAGTTTCAAATAGGGATTCTTCCTTGCCTGTTAGTGAGCTGTGAAATGACTTTAAACCCTCACGGTGAATGGCCCATTTAAATAAATGTGATTATTTTTAGGAAAACTGCTTGAAATAGTCAGCTAACAGGTAGTTTATTATGGTGCACTTTTAACAATGGTGTTCACATACAGTGTGACTCATATTACTCACTGAGCCTGGAAGAGAAATACACGCCAATCAGCAGTCTGCAGGCGGAAGACATTGGGTCTCTTGGTGTAGTCACTGGCTCTCTCAGCTAGAGCATGATGGATGCTGATCACTTCCTCAGGAAACTGGAAGTCAACCCTGTACTCATCCTGCCAATGGTTTCAAAATACATACAAAAGAGTCATATGGATACATTTAAAGCTAAGCTTCAGTTTAAAATAATAACAAAAAATGGGGTACCTCAAAGATAAAACTTGTCCATAAATTTCTTATCTTGGAGTACAGTACAAAAAGCAAAAAAGTAGCAAAAACTTGGCTAAGGCTACCCCTAGAGCACGGGTGTCAAACTGGCGGCTCTCCAGCTATTGCCAAACTACAAGTCCCATGAGGCATTGCAAGATTGACAGTTACAAGCATGACTCCCAAAGGCAGAGGCATGATGGAACTTGTAGTTTCGCAACAGCTGGAGGGCCGCCAGTTTAACACCCCTGATCTAGAGGATATCTGTATAACCCCACCTACTCCATGAGGCTCCAGGCTTTGTAGCAAGCAATAAGGAGTGATCAAGGAGTAACCTGTGTCCTGTAATCTACTCCAACAAAAGGAATTGTACATGTAAATCAAAGTTCCTATTATTGTTATCATACAGTACAGGGCACACAGCTTGTATTCCTAGACCATGGGAAGAACCCAAGTAATAAAACAGAGAGGTGGACAACAACATAGAAACAAAGAACTGCCAAGAATCCCACAAGAAACGCAAGGATTTAAGGAACCCAAACAAAATACTTAGACAACAGCTGTTGCACCTTGCAGTTGAAGCATATATCAACTGAATATTTACCTAGCAGAACTTGGAAAATGTGTGATTAGAGGACCAGGTGGCAGCCTTGCAAATCTCGGATACAGAAGTTTGATGCTGAAAAGCTTAGGTAACACCAACAGCTCTGGTGGAATGGGCTATGATGGGAAAGGAAGGAACTTTTTTCTTTAAGGGTGTATGCCCTGGAAATTAGTTGTCTGATCCTCCTGGCAGTGGTGGACTGCTAGGTAGAACAAAAAGAGGCTGCCAAATAGACTTCGACAACCCTAACCACATCAAAACAATATAAGTCTATTTCTTTGTCATGGACAGGACAGTGGGAGGGAGGAAGATGTCCTCATTGAACCTGTGGGAAGAGACCACCTGAGGTAAAAAAAGGTTTTGATCTCAAAACCACATTGTCCTTGTGCAAATGAAGAAAAGGCTTTAAAACAGAGCTGCTAACGCAGAAATACCCCTTGTAGATGTGATGGCAATGAAGAGGGCAACCTTACAGGTGAGGTCTTCCAAAGGAATGTTTCTAATCTGAAGAGCAGAGAGCACAAGAATGAAATCCAAAGCTGACACTAGAGGTTGGGTTGGGGGCATTATATAAGCATCTCCCTGTAGAAAAGTCTTGATAAGGAATTGTGAGGTTTTTGAAAGAGAATGGATAAGGCAGAAACCTGTCCCACAACTGTACCAAGTGCTGGTCAGGACCAGACTGAAGAAAGACCAAAATATGATTAATAGAGTAAATAAAACAAATTGAATGAGCGCAACTAGATAAGTTAGATAAGAAAAAATTAAATGAAATGACAAGCTGCTAGCATAAAAGGTATACCTCAGCACCTCAGAAAAATATTTAAAACATTGAATATGCAGCGCTAGATGTTATTATATGAGAACATGATTCATGTATAATAGAAAAAAGAGATTAGTATAGTCCCAGATAAAAAGTCCTCCAAAAACCAGATCCAAAAATATTCAAAAAGGCACTCACATCAGAGTATAATATCCTGTAGGTAATCCATAAGAACAAAAAGCAAGGTCAGCGTCGCATTGAGGGGAATCCCTCAATGCGACGCTGACCTTGCTTTTTGTTCTTATGGATTACCTACAGGATATTATACTCTGATGTGAGTGCCTTTTTGAATATTTTTGGATTTCATTTAATAAAGACTATATCACACTATTAGCACCATTTTGCTTCCCTGGCTTGTTATTACACGAGCCTCCTTAAGGTGGATCTACATCTCGTGTTTGAGCGGCGGTGGACCCACTGGTGAGTCTGAGGTGGACTGGGAGCGTGACTAAATATCATCTCTGAGAGTCCGCCAGGGCGTTCTGATGACATCATACCGGTGACCAGACCCTGATGTTTTCTATAGATTATATACATACAACGCGCAGTTTGTATGTAGTTCTGGTAAGCACATTATAATACCATTACCACAAGGAATTTGCTATTAAGGTTTATCATCTGACCAGTTCGGCTACTTGGTGGACTTTTTTATCACCTTATGGAACATTTCTGATACATATTAATCTGGTTTTTGGAGGACTTTTTATCTGGGACTATACTAATCTCTTTTTTCTATTATACATGAATCATGGTCTCATATGATTAATAGAGTATTCCCTAAAGTTATGCTTTCTGTCCTGACATCGTGCAAAGAAGATTTTCCATGGGTTATGGTAATTCTTGTGGGAGTTGAATTTTCCCTAGGTCTGAATAAAAAAGGAATAACCAAGTCAGAGATACCCCTATACTTTAGGACTTAGAGTTTCAACAGCCATGCCATTAAAGCCAGTGACTGATAAGCAGGCTGGAACAAGTGCTCTGAGTCAGCAAGTCTGGCCTGTTTGGAAGAGGCCAAGGCTCGTCTGCTGCAAGTCTGAGTACATCTGTTTACACCTTTCTTCTGGGCCATTTGGTGCAATAAGAATCACAGGGACCCTTTCCACCTCCATCTTGTGCAGCAGTTGAGAATCTTCATCAGAAGGAAGCCATAAACCAGGTAGCATTGAGTCCAAGGAATCACCAGCGCATCTACTGGGAAGCATAGAGGATCCCAGGTCTTGGCCACGAACTTGTTCAGCTTGTTGTTGCACCTTAGACAGACATTTTAAAAGGGGCAGAGACCAGTTACCGGAAGTAGGCATTGATGGCTTAGGAAGTCTGCCTGCCAACAATACACTCAGGAGATATGGAAGGCCAAAACTGGAATGTAAGTTTCTGCCCATGAGAGTATTAGACTAGTTCTTTAGTTCTAAGCTTCTGGTATCCAATTGATGATTTAGCCAGTCTCTTCATACTCATAGGAGTCTGTTTTGCTGTGGAGAATCAGGTGCTGTTATGCAAAGACTACAGTAATGCGCATCACATCAATTAGTGTTTCCTTAGTGGAAAGTGTTTGGCGGGGAGCCATAGCTTGTAGCTCATACTGTAAAAAGCAGGGGAAGGAAAATTCTCCACGGCCTTTACGGCAAGATCAGTGTAACTCAATTCTTTCCTTCATAACATCTTCAAGTCACGAGTAGTAAACTGCAAGCATCATTCTAGAGCTCAGTGTGTAATATAACATAATAATAATAAATAAAATACTTTGCACCAATGACAATCAGAACTGCTTGAACAATGATATACCTTTAGAAAGAAGAGCAGCATCCCCTTCAGCACAGTGTGGAAGGATTTCCAGCGTCTCTTTCCCCATGGAGCTGCAGTAAGAAGAAAGAAAAGAGTTATAACCCAGAAATGATTATAAGCCCAGCAATAAAAAATGGGGAAGAAAGCCAATAATAATTGAACATCTGCTTTGTTTTCTATACAGTATAAACAGAAGTGTGTAGAAGAATAGGCGACATGAGTCACCCTGGTATGATATGTGTATTTTTGTCTTGTACATCAGCACCTTGTCAGTCACATCGACTCCTAAAGAAGTGAATCCTATTTTATGAAACGCATTGCAATTTGTGATGCAACTTTGTCCATCTGTACATCATTGACTGGAAGACATTGTTTGACAACATATACAAATTGATTCAATTTGTGAATTAGACTGGCCACAGTAAATCAGTGCCTTGTATTTTTTTTAATATATTTATGTGTTTCATATATATGAAGATTTTTATTTGTGAATTTAATAAAAAAAGTTTTTTTTTTTACTTGTTATTTGTGTGTTGAGGACCCTGCAAAAAGTCCCATGGGCACCCATTTTTGACTCTCTTTGCCCATAGAATGAAGTTGTACAGGCGGCGCTATATTTTAACTATTATAACAATAATGATTGCCACCCTTACATTTGACAGTACTTAAATACTACTTAAAATTCTGCAAAAAATTACAAATGCATATTGTAAGAAAACATACTTGTATGTCTGTGTGCTACTCTATTATGATCATAATCTATAATATCTACAGTAAATGCATAGTTTAAAGCAGGGGTGGGCAACTGTGGACCTACAGCTGTTGTAGAACTACAAGTCCCATGAGGCATTGCAAAATTGACAGTTACAAGCATGACTCCCAAAGGCAGAGGCATGATAAGACTTGTAGTTGACCAACAGCTAGAGGGCCACAGTTGCCCACCCCTGGTTTAAAGCAAACTTACATAGTCTGTGCAGGTTTGCTCAAGTCAGAGCTTAAACCATGCTGAGGACTCTCAGTGTGACAGCACTGTGCCAATCACCAAGCACCAGTGCTGTTACATAAGAGGAAGGCGAGAGAAGAACAGAACATTCACTGCATTATACCTGCACGTACAGAGTATTGAAAGAAAAGGTGAAGGAGGGTGGCGAGGAGGCATTAAAGGAGAAGTACAGCGAAAGCTCTTTTGGCTGTAATTCTCCTGTGGATCACAGGAGTGCAGTTCGTTCTGCACTCCTGTGACCCATTTTTAGCTGACATCACTCAGCCGGTCCAGGCTGGGGAAAGATCCCGACTTTAAAGTTGGAATCCACCCCAGTCTGGAGTGGCACCTGGCTCAGCCTCTCAGAGAGGGGCAGAGCAGACAGCAGCGACTGACAGTCACTGCTCTCTGTGCATATTGGCAATGAGAACTCAGTGATCAGCGGTCATGTGATCGCTGAGTTCTCACCCTTAGAGCCAGTGGGGACAGATGCAGCATTGGACCGATGCTGCATCCACCTAGGTAAGTATAATATTGAGAAAAAAAACCCCACACACTTCTCTTTTAAAACAAACGTGTTGCTTGCATAAAGGGGAGGAAGATTTTTATTATACAGAATTTATATAACGCCAAACGTTTGTTCAACACTTTACAAAAGAAATGGAAAAAGTACAGTTAAAGGTTGGGTCTGTCTGAAAACAAAATAGGTGCCACAACTCATCCAATGTCCACTGCTCTCCACAGACAAAAATGCCTCACAGTTCCACACATATAGATTGGTTACAGCTAACATAATTAAGAGACAAGTTTGGCTAACTAAAATGAGCTTGATGGACATCCCATTCCAAAAATATTAGTTGGCTCCTTTCTGTGAATACAACAGCTTTCACTCTTCTGGGAAGGGTTTTCACAGTATTCTTTGGGAATAAGTGCTCATTCAGCCAAAATAATTTTAGTGAGGTAACCATGTTGGATGAGAAGACTTGGTTTACAATTGGCACTCCAATTCATCACAAGGGTGATCACTAGAGCGGAGGTCAGGTCTGTGTACAGGCCAAGTTCCTCCAAACTAAACACATCAAACCATATCAATAAAGGAGCTGGCTTTGTAGATAGAGACACATTCATGCTGGGACAGAAAAGGGACTTCCCCAAACTTTTGTTTGCAATGTTGAAATCACACAATTGTCTAAAATATTTTTGTATGGTGTAGAATTAACAATAAATTTCAATTAAACCACCCAAGGGGTGTCCATGGCCATATAGTGTGTTAATGCCTGTACAGTACGGCTTGCTCAGTACAAATACAGTTTTTAGTTTGCCATTACTGGTTAAAACCGTTCATAGCACAAAGGGAAAACCCAAAGGTTCTGAAACCTCCATATTTGCTTAAAGGTTTGGTTATGATTATGATGGCGTAAAGTGAAGGATCACTTAAGAGACATAAGAGACGAGGTGAAAATAAAAACCCCTAGCAGATTAGCAGATACTTAAAATGTTTTATTTTTTTCCACCCCAGAAAAAAAAAATCAACTTCCTCATACAAAAGAAAAGAAAAAGAAAACATGACCTGCAGTTTTTACCATGCCCTGAGAGATAAAACGGCTTGAAGCTGCAGTGGCCATGACTGCCTGCTACAGTGGGTGATTCTGGCATATATGTTTTGTGAACATGAGGGAAATTTGTGTTTACAGATCCTCAATGAAACCCAATAAAATGAAAACGTGGGTTTGATCATAACAGAAGAAGGAAATATAATTATAGATCTCTGATTAAATAAAATCACAGCATATGTTAGGTGTAAAAATAAAAGATAAAGGCGAGCTTTTATATATGCAACCAACAACAGTAACTTTCAGGTTTCTAAACATGCTTTGGCTGTATTATAGTACATGATTGTGAAAACAGAGTACAAAACCACCTCTTCCTTCTCTTTGAAGTCCCCCTCTCCACACCTATTACAAAAAAAAAATGACTCTATATATTAAAAATTCCGGTTGTCTTCTGAGTGGTTAGATGACATCACAGGTTCTTCTTCTTGACTTGCGTCAGTGGTCCCTGCTGCTGCACAGAATGGCCTTCATGAGGTGGCAGGTGAGCACTGTTCTGTGCAGCAGCACTGTGAACTCAGGACATCATTCATTCAATCCAAGCAGTAAGTGTGGGGGCAGTACTGGGGAGAAGGTAAGTATTGCACCTGGTCCCCAGCACTTCCAAATCCTGGAGTTGGGCTTTTCACAAATTAAAAAAAAATGCAAGACGAAGATCAAAGATTGAAAAAAGTTGTTCTACATTTAAATCCCTATGAATATTATGCAGGGAAGCCTGCCAGAAGATAAGATATGCCCCAAAGCAGGTACAAGCACAGAGGGGCTATACTCACTCTTTTTGCCATCAATATCTGCATGTACTTTGCGGCAGAGCATCCCCTGTTTGAAGACTGGGGCCTGAGGGTCTGGTGCTGGTAGGTCCACAAAAGGATTGCTTTTTTTCCGAACAGACAAAAGATTTTCTGGTTTTGCAACAAGGACGGTTGCTAGCTTCTCTTCACTCCTGTTAGGGGAACAGCAAACGGCAATATTGTAATGAAATGTCCATTGAGGGCAAAAACAGTAACAAAAACTGTAAGTGTAAAATTTCAGGCAGAGTATCAGAGGGCGAACAAATAACAGACAGACTGCTCAGCTGAACTTACATGGCCCATTCCAGCTTCTCTACACGGATGGAGTGGTACAAACCCTATGAAAAAAAAGAATGAAGCATCACCTGACTGCTAAAATGGTAAATTAAAGAGGAACTAACAGTAACCAAAAATTTTAATGTAAACAGTGTGCATTTGGGGCCATACACCCTCACAGCTGTCAAACTGGAAGCAGCATCTGTGTCTGTGCAGCCACTGCGTCCCAATTGACTTGAATAGGACTGCCTGCATGGGGATGCAAGAAACACCGGATGCATCCCCATGCAAGCAAACACAGCCCTTGCACCAGTAGCCAGGCTATAAACGTTTAAAAAATGTTAATACTATTATAATATTTACAGAAAATATTTGCAGAAAATGAGCTTTAAAACAAGCCCTCACTGACCTCCATAGCTGCAAGCATTGTGGAGTAATTCATCCTCAAACTCAAACAAAAGACTCTGAAGTCCATTTCTGAACAGCTTGCAGCACCTGCTGTTTGCTTACATTAGAAGGCTGTCATGCTGTCAGGTGAAGCAAGGAGAAATGAACTGCAATTTCAGAGCCTCTGTTGTAAACTTAATGAAAATGAATTACTCCATAGTGCCTACAGCTACAGAGGTCAGTAAAAAGCTCTTTTACCGAGTGTTAAAGTGTGCAAACTGTTGGCGCTATAGGCGCTATATAAATCCTGTATAATAATAATAATGCAGATATTTGACTGTCCACTGTCTACAGGTTCACCTTAATGTGAGCCTGTGTTCCAAGGTTTCAGCTATTCCCACGCTACCATCCCAATAAACCCTAACCCACATATGCTTGTGTAGTAGATCATGTGACATAAGATTCTATCCAGATGCACTATAAGAAGTCTACTTAAGATGTCTAAAAGTACAATGAGTAAAGCTGCAGTGTTGCCTGTATGGCATTAACAGTTCACGGATTGCTTTTTAATTAATGCATACATAAGTTTCAGCATTTTTTTTTGTGGCTGCATTTGTTTTCTGTAATAAACGTTGCCTTGTGTGTTATTATCTACTAATTTATACACACTTTGGAAAACTAATTTGTTTACATTCCTTATTCAAAGACTTACTATTCTGCCTACTATTTTTATCTCATTAAAAAAAGCCATAAACAGACATGTACCTTCAGGAGCTCCCGTGGAAAATTGCCACCATCATTCATGCCCTCCAGGTTATTGATGAAATCCTGTGCTGTCATGCTCTTTCCAATGTTCTGCAAGGAACAGGTGCAGTGTATATTACCATTCTAGAGGACCAGGAAAAACTTGCCTTTCCAGTGTCTTTCTGTGTTACAAATGGTGTCAGCTCATTAACTGCCATTGAAAGTGCTGTCATAGAAATGAAGAGGCATCTATGGCAGCACATCCGCTAACAACTAATCAAACTCACAGCAGATTTCAGACAAGTTCTCAGACTCCACTGTGGCTTGTGGAATGTAAAGAGCTGAAAGCTACATATCACTGAACCTTTATAAATGGAAAACAAAATTACTCTGGAGTGCCTCTTTACCTGCTTAAGATCAATTGAACCTATATACCTCTTATAGACCAGAGCAATTTTTACATTTCTTCTATGGACCTGTTTATGCAAGTATTGCATTGTTTATGTTATAATTATTTAGGATTATTTCTTTTCGGTACAGACAAGGCGACAATGTCTTGTGAAAATAATTTTTTCTTTCCATGCAATCTACCGTCAAAGAGATGCACTGTAAAAAAAAACCTTTAAAAATTCACTTTTTTCTACTTTGATCAGTGTTAACTTAAAATAATTAGGGGTCTTATGTATAAAACATTCACTATGTGGCTGTGACAAACATCTACACAATCTGGTCAAAAATTGGCATACTTCCGCTAATATGTGAGGTTCCTATACCGCCAAAGCCATCTAGTGGCCACAATACGTTTTTGTTTCCTGAATGAGGTATTTCCAGTAAAAAAAAATGCATTAGGGCCACTAGGAGGCCGACATAGCAACTACACATATTACAGAAAATACAGCAGTTTTCATCCTGATTGTATGGACGTTTGTCATATGCGTACAGCAAACATTTTATGCACAGACACTTAAGTGTTACTGTAGATAAAAAAAAATAATCTTCTATAATCTGTACCAGTATAGTATATTTACTGTCATTAGAAATTGGCTACAGTATTACAAAGTTATATGCAAATAAAATAAAGGCTTTTTTTTGGCATTTTTTTTTATATTCAGCACTAAAGAAGTTATTGTACACAATGATATGGCAAAAAAAGTTTAAGTGATATTGGTTTAAAAACAGAAACAGAAAACAAGTAGCTGGAAATAAAAACAAGTAGCTGGGGAGAAGAATTAATTAGGGCTGAAAAGGGTTAACTAAGGATAATTATGGAAGAAATAAAATCCCACAGTTGAGCCGTGCTTTTACAACCCCCTAACTGATACCCCCTTTACCTGCATAGGTAGTGACTGGGGATGTACACATGCCGCAGCCGTGATGCTTTGCGGCAAGAATTATTCCCCTTGTCACTTACAGCAACACTGCAGTGCAATAGTACAGGTAGCAAGGTGTTAAAGCAGGTGGGGAGGAGGGAGGAGGCGATACACTGCCTCCTTCTCGCCTGTCATATGCTCTCCGAAGAGCGTTCAGAGCATTTCACTCCTCAGGGACCAAAGTCTATGTAAATGAGCCCTTAAAGGTACACAAAAGAATAAACACACATTTGTTGGTAGCTTTGGCAGATTCTATTGCTCTCTGTTTCCATGGAAAATTTCCCTTCACTTCTTCTCTGTGAGACATTGTTGCAGGACAGAAAATAAATGAAAATCTTCCCAGCACTGCCTCAACAGTAGTAAAAACACAGCAGAGTTATACCTTAACTTTGTTTTAAGAATCTGCGAGATGGAATGAACTGATGTATTAACTGGTAGGGTTACTTTGGATATACAACATATTTTTCTAGTTTCTGACAGTAATTTTGTGTGACAAGGCCAAAGCAAACGTAGTGGTTACCAGTTTAATGGTTGGTCTAAAAAAATCTGTATCAACCAAGTTCAACCTAACATAATTTCTTTTAAATAATCATAAAAAAAATCATTACCTGCCCATGTAGGTCTGAATTAAGCAGCATGAGGGCGCAGGTAAGTGTGTGAACAGCATCTGAAAGAGAACATAAGTTCGTCATTCTCTAATCATTTCAACCTTCAGCCGCTGCATACTAAATTGGGACAGATCTGTCTCTCACCTGCAGAGCCGTACTCCTTGGGGTTGCAGCTATGGAAGCGTTTGGAGAAATGGTACAACACTCGCTCTCGTTCTTGAGTCTCCCCAGTCAACACCAGCTCTTGCAGAAGAGATCTGAAATTTACAAACAGCAATCATAATGAAAAAGCTAAGACCCAGATTGTATCAGAGACTTGAAAAACTGGACCTCAAATTCCTCCACTGGGGTAGGTTTTTGTGGGTTTGCACCTGCCAATTTATTTGGTGACCACTTCTGTGTATAAGTTAAAAATGAAATGCCTTGAATGAATTTATATGTGAATACGGTAGTATTGTCATACTCCGCAGAACTGCACAGTAAACACTGCAGCTTTCATATAAAACATAATATTCATGTTTCCCCAACAAATGTTCTTTATTCTTGCTAGAATCTAAAAACCAAAAATATCATCAAAATATTTAGATTTTTGGAAGAAAAGGCACTACATATAGTGAATGCCCCTAGAAAAAAAATACATCTAGTACTACAGCACTACAAAGAGTAAGGAATCCGGACTGGGATTTTTCAGGCACCAATTAAACCACCAATTATATTAAAAGTACAAAACTTTATATCAGATAAAAAAAAGACACTCAATAAAAACAATTCAGCTGATGAGTAGCTCAATGTTAACTAATACATAAAGACCACTCTTCATTATTAATACATAGACTAATATATTCGCCACAAATTTGTATGCAAATTCAATTGCAACAAGTCTTCATCAGGGAGCTATGGTGGTCAATATAGAAGCTAGTACATCATCAACTAAACCAGCCAAACAGTGAGATGTATCCAAATGTCCTCATTTGCCCCCACAGTGTAAAGCCAGGAGGAGCACAATGGGCGCTAAAGATCCTCAAGGGAATCCAAAAGAACAGGGAGTGGAGAAAATTACTATAGTTAAGTAAGCCTTATCCGGGGATATCAATAAAGCTGTAGATCCAAAGTCCACCAGAAATATTTTATTTTGCAAGGTCAATCATCAAGAAGGCCTATGCTCTGATTGCCCAAAAGTATAAGGAAAGGGTAGCCAAGGAGATATGTGGTAAGCGGCCAAGAAAACAAGGGGGCAACCTCCTGAGAAAAGGTTAGGTGAGATATAGATTCAGCTTATAGACCTTAATGGAAAGACCTCATCAAAGAACTTTCCTCCACAAACTTCTAAATGGCAGAACATCCCTCTACACCAGGGGTCCTCAAACTACAGCTCGCCAAAGGCATTCATCCATCCCAGAAAAAAAAAAAAAAAGAAAAGAAATAAAAACCCCCGGCGCTGACCGGCAAATATTTATGCTGCTTGCTGGGTCCTCGGGCACGAGGACCTAGCGTGCAGCAGCCTGCAAGCCCCGGATTTCACCTGCTGCAGTCAGAGAAGCAACAGGACAGGAGAGCACACCAGGCACCAGGTACAGTGCATTGCGGTGTCCGGTGTAGCAGTGTACAGTGCATTGCGGTGTCCGGTGTAGCAGTGTACAGTGCATCGCGGTGTCCGGTGTAGCAGTGTACAGTGCATCGCGGTGTCCGGTGTAGCAGTGTACAGTGCATCGCGGTGTCCGGTGTAGCAGTGTACAGTGCATCGCGGTGTCCGGTGTAGCAGTGTACAGTGCATCGCGGTGTCCGGTGTAGCAGTGTACAGTGCATCGCGGTGTCCGGTGTAGCAGTGTACAGTGCATCGCGGTGTCCGGTGTAGCAGTGTACAGTGCATCGCGGTGTCCGGTGTAGCAGTGTACAGTGCATCGCGGTGTCCGGTGTAGCAGTGTACAGTGCATCGTGGTGTCCGGTGTAGCAGAGTACAGTGCATCGTGGTGTCCGGTGTATCAGAGTACAGTGCATCGCGGTGTCCGGTGTATCAGAGTACAGTGCATCGCGGTGTCCGGTGTATCAGAGTACAGTGCATCGCGGTGTCCGGTGTAGCAGTGTACAGTGCATCGCGGTGTCCGGTGTAGCAGTGTACAGTGCATCGCGGTGTCCGGTGTAGCAGTGTACAGTGCATTGCGGTGTCCGGTGTAGCAGTGTACAGTGCATCGCGGTGTCCGATGTATCAGAGTACAGTGCATTGCGGTGTCCTGTGTATCAGACTACAGTGCATTGCGGTGCGCTACAGTGTACAGTGCGTTACAGTGTACAGTGCATTGTGGTGTCCAGTACGTTACAGTGCACAGTGCATTGCGGTGTCCAGTACGTTACAGTGTACAGTGCATGGCAGTGCCAAGTGCGTAACAGTGTACAGTGCATTTTAAATATTATATTGTTTTTTCCTGTTTTTTCCACTACAAATAAGATATGTGTGGTGTGCAGAGGAATTTGTTAAAATTGTTTTCAAACTATAGTCCGGCCCCCTAACAGTGTGAAGGTCCGTGAACTGGCACCCTGTTTAACCGCCTCCCGCCCGCCATATAGTAATATGAAGGACACAAGGTGGTTCTCTTGTTCTGGGAGGACATCATATGACGTCCTCCCATTCTAACCGTGCTTGCACAGCTCCAAGAGCGCACAGCGTGGCAATCAGCGGTGCGCTGTGTCCAATCACAGCTGATCACATGTAAACAGGGAAATGCCGGTTATCTGCATTTCTCTCCCCACGAGCTGTCATGCTGACAGCTTGTGAGGAGAGGAAAGCCGGTAATCGGCATTCCTCGGAGGGGACATGTACACAGATCATCAGAGCACTGATGATCAGTGTGCCCTGATGATCTGTGTAGCCCCAGCAGCGCCACCTGTCTGTGTCCATCAGTGCCAGATTTCAGTGCTCATCCATGCCACCTGCCAGTGCCCATCAGTGCCACATTTCATTGCCCATCAGTGCCACATCAATGCCTCATATCATTGCCCATATGAGCAGCCTTTCAGTGTCAGCCATCAGTGCCGGTTAGTGCCACCTATCAATGCCAGTCAGTGCCACCTATCAGTGCTGCCAATCAGTGCCAGTCAGTGCCGCCTATCAGTGTGCATCAGTGCCGCCGAACAGTGCCAGCCAGTGCCACCTAACAGTGCCAGCCAGTGCCGTCTATCAGTGCCATATATGAGTGCTGCCTTTCAGTGCCCATCAGTAATGCCTGTCAATGCCCCTCAGTGCCACCTATCAGTGCCTCCTCATCAGTGCCACCTATCAGTGCCCATCACTGCAGCCTCATTAGCGCACATCAGTGAAGGAGAAAAATCACTTATTTACAAAATTTTATAACAAAAACTAAGAAAAAACGTTTTTTTTCCCCAAAAATTTTCAGTGGTTTTTGGTTTGTTTAAGAAAAAATAAAAAACCCAGAGGTGATTAAATACCAGCAAAATAAAGCTCTGTCACAAAAAAATGATAAAAATTTCATATGGGTACAGTGTTTCATGACCGCGCAATTGTCATTCAAAGTGCAACAGTGCTGAAAGCTGGAAATTGGCCTGGGCAGGAAGGAGGTATAAGTACCTGGTAGGCTAGTGGTTAAAAAGTTTGAGCACCCCTGCTCTACACAATGGCTACCACCAAATGCTATAAGTTGGGTCACAGCATCTCAGCTACTGGTACATGTACCCAAATGGTTGACTTTAGGTGTACTTTCTGTAAATTTGTTATAACATTATAACATTTAAACAGTTTAACCAGGTATACAATAGAATCACATAGTTATTTAAAACATAAGGAACTATTTAAAAAAAATGACTATATAATAAACATCAAAGGTTATAGTGACCACATGACTGAAACCAGAGGCCTCTTGGTAAACAATGCTTTAAAAGAGATGTACACACTTTAAAGAGACACTGTCACTTTTTGCCATTAAAAGCAAAGTGACCATGTCTACGCAGGGCCCATTGCCCCAAGCATGTATACTTGCCCAGCTACACACCGTCGCTGCCTACCTGCTGCAGCATCCTCACTTACCCAAGCTCCAGTGCCAACTGACTATGGAACCAACACATGACAGTGTTTGGGCCCTATCATTGTCACACAAGGTAGTCCCCTATCCATTAGTAAGTGCTAGGCATGTGGTGAGGGAGTATGGCTGGGTAATTATACATGTTTTGGGAGGGAATTTGCAGACAATGTTACCTACAGTATATCTCTTTAGAAAAGTTGAGAAAATTGGCCAATCGCATCCAAATCCCAACAGTTCTTAAGTAACTCCACAATTCCATTCCCCTGGATTGTATGCAATGTTTCTTTATATCACTTACCTGAGCGCTACATCCAGGGTCTTCCCTTTGAAGTCAAAGAGAGCAAGGTATTCCTCAGCCACCATGGCACTAAAATCATTGCTACAAAAAGAAGTCAAGCAAAATAATGAATATTAAAAAAAAACCAGTAGGAGTGTTCAAGACTAAAAAGGCTAAACTCAGCTTGTTACACAACACATGACAACCCAGAGCCACTAAATGCAGATACATAGGACACCCTGAACACATTCTTAAAACCACCTAAAACTAAAAATAATAGTGTGTGGAGCTCACATGCAAATGATACTTTAGTAGGCTAATAAGGTCCCATAATACTAAGTTCTACTGCCTCACTGATCTGTACTTATTGGGAGGAAGCCAGAGACCTGCTCTCTGAGTATACAGGACAGTTTTGAAGACTGCTTTGTTCCTGAAAGTAAGGCGTTGGTTTTTTGGAGTATAGACGGCTAGGTTTTTTCATTAATATAAGCAGGAAGACCTCTTCCCAGTGTCTAGTGAATCATTGCAACATTGACATACGCTAGGATTCTCAACAAGCACATATAATCAGGATAATTTGGAAATTAGGTTCTAGCATTTTTCTGTGCGATAACAATAACCCCAAACTCTTAGTGGAGCTCATTACCATTTCACAGAAGTCCAGACGGATCAAAAACAGTGCTTTCAATGAACAGCTTTAATAGCTGCTTTCAGGTTAGGTTTCCAGCTCTTTATGCTGTGAACTATAATACTTTAGGAAAACCACAGACATTGGTTTAACCACATTTTCACAGCAACCTACAGTATGTCATTTGCAAAACTGATCGTGGTTTTGTAATATGTTCCTTTTAATGAATAGGAAGTAAAGAAATAAGAGAAAGTTAACATTATACTAATGAAATTGTGCAGAGCATCACGCAGGCAAACATAAGGAACTATCAGTAAACTTATAAGATATCAACCTGGTCCTTTGTGTAGATGTATACATTCAGAATCCACAATTAAAGAACGTAAGAAAAAAATAGAAAAGTAGAGTTCCATCGGTGACAGAAGTCAGCACACCTAATGTGCAAACTTTTTCTTTACTTTAGTGTACAGATGATAGATAAAACATTTTGTGTTTACGGTGTCACACCATATGTGCTGGGCTGTCCAGTGCACTACCAACACATATACTGTACAAGGCAAGTTGCTTTATGTTCTATTAGTTCAGTTCACATGACTGTGCTGCAGTGGTGTGTGCTGAAAACAAGCAGGTTGTTCTGTATTTTTTTAGGACAGCATGTTGAGATGTAGTATACTGTATTGACACCCACTGCAGTGAATAACAAAATAAACAATGCTATGAGCCATTTATCTGTGTGTGTGTATATAAAAAAAAAAAAAAAAACACACACACACACACACACACACACACACTATATTGCCAAAAGTATTGGGACACCCCTCAAAATCATTGGATTCAAGTGTTCCAAGCAACTTTATAGCCACAGGTGTATACAATCAAGCAAAAATGAGGAAGGGTTGTAACAGCGCAAACACTGCAAAGTCCTGGGAAATGGTAGTATGGGGTGATCGTGGTATTAGTGGCTACTGTATGAAGAGCGTAGGATTCCGTGTGGCACTGAGGGCAAGGCTTCCAAATAAGCTGTAGCAACTTCTGTAGATGTGAAAAAGGAGCGCACTTACGCCTTCCACGACCAGTGCATGCTCCGAAACGCGTCGCAGTGCACCCTGGGATCTGACGTCATCGCGGCCACGCCGCCGCTACGTTCCAGCGGGCGTTCCATCCAGCTCTGAGGGAGGACGTGCACACCGGCCGGCCTCACCGCTGTTCCCCTCCAGCCACCACGCTGTTCCAGCCGAGCGCTGACCTCCCCACATCGCAGTAAGATGACGGCTCTTCACCTGGGTTACCACCCCACCGTTAACTATTGTTAACCACAGTTTTTAAGCTTATGATTACTTCACACATGTGAGTGTTTCTACATTTAAACTTGAATTAAAAGACTTATTGCACTTAGAGGCGCTTCTCTCCTTTTCTCGTATACAATCAAGCACCTAGGCATGCAGACTGCTTCTTCAAACATTTGTGAAAGAATGGGTCGCTCTCAGGAGCTCAGTGAATTCAAACATGGTACTGTGATAGGTTGCCACCTGTGCAATAAGTCCATCTGTGAAATTTCCTTCCTACTAAATATTCCACAGTCAACTGTTAGTGGTATTATAACAAAGTAGAAGCAACTGGAAACAACAGCAACTCAGCCACAAAGTGGTAGGCCATGGAAAATGACAGAACAGGGTCAGCAAATACTGAAGCGCACAGTGCGCAGAGGTCGCCAACTGTCTGCAGAGTCAATAACTAAAGACCTCCAATCTTTGTGTGGCCTTCAGATTAGCACAACATTGTGTAGAGAGCTTCATGGAATGGGTTTCCATGGCCGAGCAGCTGCATCCAAGCCTTACATCACCAAGTGCAAAGCAAAGCGTCGGATGCCGTGGTGTAAAGCACGCCGCCACTGGACTCTACAGCAGCAGAGACGTGTTCTCTGGAGTAACAAATCATGCGTCTCTGTCAGGCAATCCGATGGATGTAGCTGGGTCTGACGATTGCCAGGACAACGGTACTTGCCTGACTGCATTGTGCCAAGTGTAAATTTTGGTGGAGGGGAGATTATGGTGTGGGGTTGTTTTTCAGGGGTTGGGCTTGGCCCCTTAGTTCCAGTGAAGTAAACTCTTAAGGCGTCGGCATATCAAGACATTTTGGACAATACCATGCTCCCAACTTTGTGGGAACAGTTTGGGGCCCCTTCCAGTTCCAACATGACTGCGCACCAGTGCACAAAGCAAGGTCCGTAAAGACATGGACGAGCGAGTTTGGGGTGTAGGGACTTGACTGGCCATCACAGAGTCCTGATCTCAACCCAATAGAACCTTTGGGATGATTTACAGCGGAGTCTGCGAGCCAGGCCTTCTCATCAGACATCAGTGTCTGACATCACAGATGTGGGCAGCCTTCACAGAAGAGTTGAAGCTGTTATAGTTGGAAAGGGTGGGCCAACTCAATATTGAACCCTACGGACTAAGATTGGGATGCCATTAAAGTTCATGTGCGTGTAAAGGCAGGCGTCCCAATACTAGTGGCAATACAGTGTACATATATGTATACAGTGACTTGAAAAAGTATTCATACCCCTTGAAATTTTCCATTGTTTGTCATGTTACAACCAAAAACGTAAATGTATTTTATTGGGCGTTTATGTGAAAGACCAACACAAAGTAGCACATAATTGTGAAGTGGAAGGAAAATGATAAATAGTTTTAAAAATGTTAGAAAAATAAATATCTGAAAAGTGTGGCATGCATTTGTATTCAGCCCCCCTTTCGAACCACCTTTTGCTGCAATTACAGCTGCAAGTCTTTTTGGGGATGTCTCTACCAGCTTTGCACATCTAGAGAGTAAATTTTTGCCCATTCTTCTTTGCAAAATAGCTCAAGCTCTGTCAGATTGAATGGAGGGCGTCTGTGAACAGCAATATTCAAATCTTGCTACAAATTCTCAATTGGATTTAGGTCTGGACTTTGACTGGGCCATTCTAACACATGAATATGCTTTGCTCTAAACCATTCCATTGTAGTATGTATTGTAGGCTGTATGATCAGGGTCTGCCCCAGTCTCAACAGGAGTCTCCAACATCCATTTATCCATCAACTCTGACCAGCTTCCCTGTCCCTGCTGAAGAAAAACATCCCCACAACATGATGCTGTCACAATGTTTCACGATGGGGATGGTGTATTCAGGGTGATGTGCAGTGTTAGTTTTCCAACACACATAGCGTTTTGCTTTTAGGTCAAAAAGTTCAATTTTGGTCTCATCTGATCAGAGCACCTTCTTCCACATGTTTACTGTGTCCCCCACATGGCTTCTCAAACTGCAAGTGGGACTTCTCATGGCTTTCTTTCCACAATGGCTTTCTTTTTGACCCTCTTTCATAAAGGCCAGATTCTGGCATGCACGAGTAATAGTTATCCTGTGGACAGATTCTCCCACCTGAGCTGTGGCTCCTCCAGAGTTGCCATGGTCCTCTTGGCTGCTTCTCTGATTAATGCTCTCCTTGCCCGGCCTGTCAGTTTAGGTGGACGGCCATGTCTTGGTAGGTTTGCATTTGTGCCATACTCTTCATTTTTTGATGATGGATTGAATAGTGCTCCGTGTTAGTCCCTCCATGGCTATGCCTCCCTAGACTATCACTGACCCACTACCAAAACGGTCATGCTGAACAATTTTACAGGCAGCATAACATTCTCTACGGCTTCTCCAGACACTTTCACGTCTGTCACATGTGCTCAGGGTGAATCTGCTCTCATCTGTGAAAAGCACAGGGCACCAGTGGCAGACCTGTCAATTCTGGTGTTCAATGGCAAATGCCAATTGAGCTCTATTGTGCTAGGCAGTGAGCACAGGGCCCACTAGTGGATGTCGGACCCTCAGGCCACCCTCGGGAAGTCTGTTTTTGATTGTTTGGTCAGAGACATTCACGCCAATGGCCTGCTGGAGGGCATTTTGTAGGGCTCTGGCAGTGCTCAACCTGTTCCTCCTTGCACAAAGGAACAGATACAGGTCCTGCTGATGGGTTAAGGACCTTCTACGGCCCTGTCCAGCGCTCCTAGAGTAACTACCCATCTCCTGGAATCTCCTCCATGCTCTTGAGACTGTGCTGGGAGTTGGTGGCCTCCACCTGTAAAACCGTTCCTGTTTTGGGGATCGTCTCATTGTTGCCCATCTAGTACACCTGTATTCAAATTTCATTAACACCCAAGCAGATGAAACAGATTAACAACCCCCTCTGCTACTTAACTGACCAGAATAATATCCCAGAAGTTTAACTGACTTCATGCTATACTCTGATTAAAAAGTGTTCCTTAAATTTTTTTTGAGCAGTATATATGTGAAACATAGGATAGTGTGAGCTGGCTACTAAGTATAGGTATAAGCGCAGAAGTTTAATAACAATCAATTTGTTTAAAAATCTGGTATTTTCTTTTACTTTCACTTTCATGATAATGTTAAGCAAGACAACAAATAGGCTGAATCTGCCTAGTGGGGGCAGACACAGCAATAAAAATTGACAATCCCTAATCCCTCTCCACTCTATCCAAAATAAAAAAAAAAATAAAAGTTTTGCCCTTAGTTATATTTCAAGTCCCAAAGCAGTCATCTGGTATTATCAACTCTATGCTGGCTATGATCCTACCTTCTGTCGCCAGGCTTTGAATGTATCCTGTAGAGAAGGATACATTTTCTTCCTGTTCTATCTGACACCTGACCCCTAGACAAGAAGTGAGGGGAAAACTATCTCATCACTATTGCCTGATGTATGGGGTTCTTATAAGGGTCTGAAACATCGCTCCTTTTTGTGCCGGTAATAAGCTCTTTATGTTGGACTGTATTAATATGGTGCCAACTGTTGTCACTTCAGCACCCCTCCATCCTGAGTCATTATAGTGTATGGAGTGTGCCTGGTTCAATGTTACATCCATATAAAAGGGAAAGAGACAACAATAAAAGCCTCACAGGTTCTAAACCTTCCTCCCTCTTCTACCAAATGTGCTTTCAGAGTTGTCTATTTAGCTATTGCAGGGATTACCCCTTGCTTTCCAATATGCCTGACACCTGTCAAATATAGAGGATGTAGGGGAGATTTAAGGTGTTTGTTAAGTTAATTTCACAGTCCTGATATGTGTCTGTTGTACTTGAATTAAAAAGTATCCTGTTCTCTATAATGCTTCCTTTGTGTAAGATCCCTGATGTTCCTGTCAGTCCCCCTGCTTTCCTATTTCAAACTGACCATGCTAGGCATGGAACATGTTCATGACATGCAACCACCCCCTCCAGTCTCCACCCACACCTCTTATGCAGCTGAGAACAGATGTTGTGTGATCACTTATATTGTAAAAAAAAAAAGAAAAAAAGAATAAAAAATGACAGTTTTCCCTGTTATGCATTGTGTTTGCATTGCAGGCAAAGCAGACAAATACAGCTATTTGCACTTGACTGCAAGCCTCTAAGCAGAGCTGAATTCAAATGTAAAAGCCACAGTTTCACAACAAAGCCTGTGAACACAAGTCATTATGCTGAGAAGGATATAGTAAGACAAATTGGGAGACATGTACTTTTTGCTGGCTCGCTTATACTTACTTTTTCTGAAGATAAGGAGCAACTTGAGATCTGTCAAAGCCATCCAGGTGGAAGAGCTTTGATGCCAAACACCGAGCTGCATCCACATCCTGCGCATTGGTCACAGCTTCCACATAGGTCGCTTCCTCAGAACTGCCAAGAGAAAATCAGTAACAATTTCACAGAAAGCAGTGCAAAATTAACAACCCCACATAGGCCTAGGATATGGGGGTTTCCCAGCTTTCACTATGGTTCAAGGCTTGTCTCTGTCCCTCTCAGTGTAGTCGTAAAGTTTTTCTCTGTTTCTTACTGTTCAAAGCAAGAAAAGTAAATTTTTTGATTGAACAGAGTACAGTTTCCAGCTTTAGGACACCTCAAGTCTTTTCATCAGCATGATGTTCACATATGAACTGACGCAAAACTTTGCAGCTGTGATGTGCTCCTTTGACCGTACTAACAGAGACAGGTTTATAATTACCTGGAATTGTTGAAGCTTTGCTTGTTAGAACCCATTGGGATTCCACTGTGACAGGAGAGTTCGGACATTGAAGCAGCACACTGATTTAGTGTTCTATCTGCTTTCTCCTCCTATCAGCATGCTCTATGTCAGCACATGTTACAGAGCTAAACTGGCACTTAGTACTTACAGTAGTTACATTTATTAAATAAATGAAATGATTACTGTTGGTGGTTGTTTATCTGTTTGGAGATCAGCTTTCCACTAAAAGATGATTTCACCTCGAATGTTTTGTTGTCTACCACGGTTCATGTATTCATGTATGTGACTTACAAGTCACTGACCTTGTCTTTTTATCAGTACACATAATAGAGGTATCTTTTTTAAATTTATTTAAATAAAAATGTATTGAAATTGAAAAGAGGAGTTCACCTTTAGAACATATTACATGTTTTACCTGTTTTTAGGGTGGGTAATGTAACATGTTCTTGCTCCTGCAGCCTCTTCCCTCTCATCCCCCCTCCCTATGACAGTTGGCAGGGGATCTTCTCCCCACACCCACTGTCACAATTTGAAAATAATGAGACAGTGCAGGGCTCTGCTGACACGGCAGCATCATTCATTCAGTTTCCTGTTAATGAATGCATACAAGTACTGTCAGCCAATGTGGTTGACGGCATGTAGTTCTCTGGTGAGCCCTTTAGTAGTCTGTTGATTCTACCTGCCCATAAGAGATAGGGGAAGATAGCTATACAGAAAGTCTGCAGGAGCCTGAGCTTGCACCTGCGATCTACTGATCACAAGTGCAATACTCCGCAGGCCCTTTAGAAAAAAAAAAACCAAAACAATAAATGCACATTTTCTTACCTGCAACAAAATGTTTTTTTTTTTTTTTTTTTTAAAGGTGAACTTATCCTTTAAGTATATCTATGCCTTTGACGATTCATATGAGCTACATCATAAAAGTATCACTCCCTCATAGAAGACAGGGTGACAAATCATCTTCTACATGCTTATAATAATGTTGAATAACTACACTCTGCCATATCAGTTATATGCACTACTCCAATGTTACATAGCTTACCCAGAAGTCTCTAAATCTGTGGACACATCATCGAAATGCTCTATGACAATTGTTGGAGTATCTTGCTGCGGTTTAGAATGTAATGCCTCACTTGCAGTCTCTGATGGTATTACTTTGCTTCCATGCTCCTTGCCCTGACATCCCTGGCATACAGGATGTGTGCCTTCACCCTGGCATAGGTCAAGCAGGATCTCTTCTCTGGGCAGCTCCTGAAGTGGTGTAATGCTTCCACCCTGGCATATGTCAAGCATGATATCTTCTTTGGGCAGTTCCCGAGGTGGTGGAGTACTTTCACCTTGGCATGAGTCGAGCAGGATCTCTTCTTTGGGCATCCCCTGAGGTGGTGAAGTGCCTTCACCTTGGCATAGGTCAAGCAGGATATCTTCTATGGGCTCCTTCTGAGGTGGTGCAGTGCCTACCTGGCATAGGTTAAGCACAACCTCCTCTCTGGGCTCTTCCTGAGGTGGTGGAGTGCCTTCTCCCTGGCATAGGTCAAGCAGGATCTCTTCTCTGGGCTCCTCCTGAGGTGGTGGAGTGCTTTCTTCCTTGCATTGGTTAAGCAGGATCCCTTTTCTGGGCAACTCCGGAGGTGGAGTGCCTTTACTCTGGCATAGGTCAAGCAGGATCCCTTCTCTGGGCTCCATCAGAGTTGGTGAAATGCCTTTACCCTTGCATGGGTGAAAGAGGATCTCTTTTCTGGGCTGCTCTCGAGATTGGGAAGTGAATTCCTGGTTACAGGAAGTCGGCGGAGCTGGAACATGGTGCTCAGATTCTTCATCTGGTATTAAATATTTTTGTCCAGTAGCTTGAATCAGAAAACAGCAAACCTGCTTCATCCACACGCTCTTCTTCGCAAGCAGCTAGCAAAAGACAAACAAAGGTCATATTAAAATGCAACTAAAGGAAAGTTCAGTAAATTATTAAAGGGCAAATACAGTTGTGGCCAAAATTATTCAACCCCCACTGAAATTGAGTGTTTTGGCCAGTTTGACATTGCTTTTGATCATTCAGTCATCTTGCTTACATTTACATTAAAGAGGCACTTGTAGGTCAGACAAATATAACATAACAGTTATAATGAAATAACCACAAATGTCTTTTCTGTGCTCACAGCATTATCAGTTTTATTCAACCCCCCAAGTGACATTCAATCTTAGTACTTAGTACAGCATCCTTTTACAGTTATAACAGCTTTTAAACGTGAAGCATAGCTTGACACAAGTGTCTTGCAGCGATCTACGGGTATCTTCGCCCATTCTTCATGGGCAAAGGCCTCCAGTTCAGTCACATTCTTAGGCTTGCGCACTGCAACTGCTTTCTTTAAGTCCCACCAGAGGTTCTCAATCGGATTTAAGTCTGGTGACTGCGATGGCCACTCCAAAATGTTCCAGCCTTTCCTCTGCAACCATGCTCTAGTGGACTTGGAGGTATGCTTGGGATCATTGTCCTGTTGAAAGGTCCAACGTCTCCCAAGCCTCAGGTGTGTGACGGACTGCATCACGTTTCCATCCAATATCTCCTGGTACTGAAGAGAATTCATGGTACCTTGCACACGCTGAAGCTTCCCTGTACCTGCAGAAGCAAAACAGCCCCAAAGCATGATTGACCCTCCACCATGCTTCACAGTAGGCAAGGTGTTCTTTTCATCATAGGCCTTGTTCTTCCTCCTCCAAACATAGCGTTGATCCATGGGCCCAAACAGTTCTAATTTTGTTTCATCAGTCCACAGAACACTATCCCACAACTTTTGTGGTTTGTCCACATGGCTTTTGGCATACTGCAGTCGACTCTTCTTATTCTTTGGAGACAGCAAGGGGGTACGCCTGGGGAGTTCTGGCACGGAGGCCTTCATTACGCAGTGTGCGTCTTATTGTCTGGGCTGAAACTTCTGTACCCACATCTGACAAATCTTTTCTCAGTTCCTCAGCAGTCACACGGGGACTTCTCTCCACTCTACGCTTCAGGTAGCGCACAGCAGTCGAAGTCAGCATCTTCTTTCTGCCACGACCAGTAGCGTTTCAACAGTGCCCTTTGCCTTGAATTTGCGAATGATGCTTCCTAAGGTGTCTTTTGGTATGTTTAACATCTTTGCAATCTTCTTATAGCCATTGCCCTTCCTGTGAAGAGAAATCACCTCTTCTCTTGTCTTCCTGGACCATTCTCTTGCCTTCACCATGTTTGTAACCACACCAGTAAATGTCTAGAAGGAGCTGAGTATCACAGTCATTTTAAAGCTGCCTAATTGGTGCTTATTATGCTTGATTGCTGCTCGGTGACATCCACAGGTGTTTTCAATACCTGATGGAAAGCACCTGTATGAACCTCTGTTCTTCAGAGTGGTAGTCTTTAAGGGGTTGAATAATTGTGGCAATGAAGAAACCACATAAGAACCATTTACTACTGTATTACATAAACAATTGATGTCATTTTAGTTGCATTTGGGTAGTTACAACGTCCTTGTAGGATTTGATTCTGAATACAATTCCAAATGTACACTATAGTCCCTAAACCCCTTTACAGCATTGGGGGTTGAATAATTTTGGCCACAACTGTACATTGAGGTTTTACCTTAAAGCCAAGCTCTGGCTACTGCTTTTTTTTTTTTTTTTTTAATATCCCGCTGGAGGTTTTAAAGTAAAAAATTGGCTGCAATACTCTCCTTAAATCTGGAGCTGTGCCTTGAATAACCTCTTTACCACATTATATTCTTAATCTTCTGGGTTTCCTGACATCTGAAAAACTGACAAAGGACTGAGTGCAGTGTGTCACACCCCAGCCCAATGAGCAGGGCACTTTGTATTAACAGTATATTGGTGCAGAGAGCGGTGCTGGTGTCATCATGTCAGCATCACTCTCTGCATTAACCAGTACCATCTACTACCAGAAGAGGACTGAAGAGGAAGAGGGCCCTGTGTGTCAGCAGGCACCTGGTCAGGAGACATCACAGAAATTCAAGTATTAAATAAATAAACTAATATACAAGTTGCAATGGCGTTGGAGGTGAAGGTGTGTGAGGAGGGAAGCGGTGGCTACCAAGCCTGGCATTAGGCTTTAAAGTCTATCCTTTAGGTCAGGTTGAGGTCAGGACTCTGTACAGGCCAGTCAAGTTCCTCCACCCCAAACTCGCTCATCCATGTCTTTATGGACTTTGCTTTTTGAACTGGTGCACATTCATGAAAAACAACCCCACACCATAATCCCCCCTCCACCAAATTTTACACTTGACACAATTCAGTCAGGCAAAAACTGTTCTCCTGGCAACCGTCAAACCCAGACACGTCCATCAGTGGCGGCGTGCTTTACACTTGGTGATGTAAGTCTTGGATGCAGTTTCTCGGCTATGGAAATCCATTCCATGAAGCTCTCTACACACTATTGTTGTGCTAATCTGAAGGCCACACCAAGTTTGGAGGTCTTCAACTATTGACTCTGCAGACAGTTGGCGACCTCTGCGCACTGTGCTTCAGCATGTACAGCAGGTACCACGCTTAAATTCACTGAGCTCCTGAGAGTGACCCATTCTTTCACAAATGTTTGTAGAAGCAGTCTGCATGCCTGGGTGATTGATTTTATACACCTGTGGCCATGGAGGTGATTGGAACACCTGAATCCAATGATTTGGAGGGGTATTCCAATACTTTTGGCAATATAGTGTAGTTGGATTACAGAAAAAAAAAAAAAAAAAAGATAAAAAGAATTTGAAAATTTGTAGGTCCAGAACAACAGAAGGGACTTTTATGAGTTGGGAATAAATACTTGAATAGACTTTTTTTTTTACACCAGAGTTTAGTGTCACTAGAAGGGATCATTTAACTAGTGTCAACCGCAGATAGCCGAATGACGGCTGCAATGCGGCCAGCCAGCTCTGGGAGGGCGTCATATGACGTCCTCCCAGAACGTGCTCTCCTGCGCGCCCCCAGGGGCGCACACCCAGCGATCTCCATGATCACTGTGTCCTACGGACACAGCTGATCACATGATGTGGTAAAAGGCCAATCACAGCGGCCTTTTACCACGTGATCAGCCGTGTCAAATGACACGCTGATCACAGGGAAATGCAATTGCCGGTTCTCGGCTGCACTTTCCTCACGCTGTCAGAGCGTGAGGAAAGTACTGCTGAGAAGCAGCAGTTGTCAGAGCAGGGGTCAGCACCGATCATCAGTGCCCTGATGATCGGTGCCCAGCATGCCACCCACCAGTTACGCCCACCTGTGCCCAGCAGTGCCATCCACCTGTGTCACCCACCTGTGCCCATCAGTGCCGTCCAGCAGTGCCACCCATCAGTGCAGCCCAGCAGTGTTGCCAGTCTGTGCCCAGCAGTGCTGCCAGTCAGTGTCCAGCAGTTGCACCAGTCAGTGCCCAGCAGTGCCGCCAGTCAGTGTCACCTATCAGTGCCAACTATCAGTACCCATCATTAGTGCCACCTCATTAGTGCTGCCTATCAGTGCCACCTCATTAGTGCTGCCTATCAGTGCCACCTATCAGTGACCTTCAGTGCTGCCTATCAGTGCAGCCTCATCAACGCACATCAGTGAAGGAGAAAAATTACCTGTTTGCAAAATTTTATAATAGAAACAAAGAACCTTTTTTTTCAAATTTTTTGCTCTTTTTCCGTTTATAGCGCAAAAAGTAAAAACACATAGCGGCGAGTAAATACCACCAAAAGAAAGCTCTATGTGTGAGAAAAAAATTATAAAAATTTCATATGGGTACAATGTTGCATGACTGCGCAATTGTCATTCAATGTGCGACAGTGCTGAAAGCTGAAAATTGGCCTGGTAAGGAAGGGGGTATAAGTGCCCGGTAGGCAAGTGGTTAAACAGGGGTGTGGAAATTAAAAAAAAAAAACACTTGTCCAGGGACTAAATTGGTGTCCCAATCTACTTCATGAGAATCTACTTGTCCAGATAAAACAAAAAAAAATAATTTTAACATTGCGCTGTTATCCCCTCCTCCCCTCCCTGCCTGTCTCCAGCACCGCACCCAGGGGGGGAGAGACCTTGCAGTGTAATGAGCACCGATTGGCTGCTCCTCGGGAAAGGGGAGTGTCCAGCTTATACTTTGTCCCTTTTGCAGCCAGAGCCGTTTTTTTTTTTTTTGCGTTTTCTGCACGTTTAAAAAATTAATTTTAGGCCTGAAGATTACACAAAACACCCGAACATTATATTTTCTGAAAGCAAATGCCCTAGAGAATAAAATAGTGGTAGTTCCAATTTTTTATGTTTCATAATATTACCGCAAAATATCAGCAAAAAATAGTAGGTTAATTTTAGGGCACAAAAAAAGCAATAAATTACTCCATGGCCAAGAATCTCTCAACGGGGACACGGAA